TTTTGCTTATCAATTGGCATGCGGTTAAGTCATGCATCACATTTCGCGCCAAGTAGTAGCTACAATCAACCAAGACAAAGAGCCATTGTAGGTTAAGTCGATCGGATTTGTTGTCGAAAATTAGCTCCAGTACGTGTACGTTACGTGTAGCTCCAGTACGTTCGCTAAAGACAGTCTCATGGCAGGGCAAAGCGAATACACGTTCAAAAATAGTTATATCTCAAAAACACTGCCACGCCAAATGTTCACATGCATCACATATGTTTTCGTGATGAACGGCGACAAGTTATTTAGATGCCTGTTTCGGTGAAAATGACTGCATATCTTGCAATTTTCTGTTTATTGTGAAGATTGTCTAGCCTCCGGAATATCTAGCCGAATTATGACCGGAGTGACATAACGGGAGAGCTTTGGCACCCACAGATCGGAGTGCAAAAGTGTGGGTTCATGTAATGTTATGGTCAGGAAATATGTGGTTGATAGTAATATCCCTTCTGCATGTGCGTTGTACGCGCGTTTAAGTACATATGCTCCCTGTATGTCTTAGCCATCGCCCTGATTCGCCGCTTTGCATAACGCGGGCTGATAGGGGAGAGGGGGTTGATGCGACCCTCCCCCTAACGTTTCCAAGCTTCTAAAGATAAAGGTTGCCGGGAACGCCAGGATATTGTTCTGAACGCGATCCCATGATTGGTACTAGTTTTTTATGTTGTTGACAGGTCAAAGGTCGAATTTTCCAAAAACTGCACTTTGCAGCTTTGCTTTATGTTTACGAGACCATGCCTTGCTGTGACACAAAATTTGAACTGGCGTGTGTCTTGTTCAATTCTCAGTACATTCTGTAGTGCATCTCTCTTGCCGCCCGCCGCCCGAATCAGCCATAGATCGCCGTGGAGTGCTCATCACAAACTGCCGCTGCTCCGAAACCAGAAAATCGAGCAACACGTTTTGGTACCAAAGCACGTGCCATAATCGCCGCCTATCTTGGCGAGGGTTAAACGTCTTGATATTGCTGCGTTGGGTATCGGCAACGATTTTTCGTGAAACGATATTCCTCATTTTGTTGAAGCCATAGTGGGCAAAACAGGAAAAACAACGTTTTTTTGCTCTCATGTTTGCTTGCTCCTAGCTTGACCTCACGCTGTCCCCGTCCCAAAAGATCAAGTCCCTCGCAACAAGTTTTGATCTGTCCGTGGACTGGCGCCGAAAGGTTCCGATGCTCGGGAAACTTCCCCGTCGGAACAACTAGAACATCTACATTGACACGCCAGACTGTTCTTACGCGTTTGGCGACATGCAGGTTGGAGCGAATGAAAATGGCGTGAACGATAAGATGACCGATTAAGGCAACTGCTCGCTCTTATCGCGTAAGACGAAGTGCAGTGAACGCATGAGACCCAGGGTAATATGACAAAGATATGGGTATGTAATTTGTATATGATCATGATAGACTTTAATTTGCTCAGCTCTTTTCATCGTTTCGCAAAGTCTTTGATGATCGATATAAGAGCACACATTGCGCTTACGGCACGCCCAGCGTGTGAGGCATGCTACAAATGCTCTTGAAACGGGAGATGCAATAGTGTAGCCGATCGCATATAGCAACTCCGAGACAAATGTCAGAGCATCATGTTATCGGTATTTAGCGGATACTTGGCCAGCAGGCAGTAGGGTGATGGCAGGTTCTGCCATTTAATTTGGCTTTTCCGCCATTTCGGGCGGAGGCAGGTTTTTCTGTTGCATGTCTCGGTTAAGATAACAGCATACCGTGCATTTGTGTTTCTTCTCACGTTTTTGTAGTCTCCGTAATATCTTGCCTAGTTTTAAACGGAGTTATATAACGGGATATGTATGTAACCAGAATTAGAGTGCGAATGTGCGAATTGATATTTACTGCGTAGAAAAATGTGGTGGATGGTGATATTCCTTCTGCACGTGTTATGTCCTATGTGTAAGTGCCTACTCTCGCTGTCTTACATATCATCTTATTGCTGCATTGGATGTCGGCAATGAAGTCTCGTAAAATTATGATCCTTGTTTTGTCGACGATTGCAACCATGTGAGGCAATAATGTTTACGTACTTCCATCTTGGCTTGGCTTGGCTGCTCAAATCCTCATTTTGGATCCACATAACCTTTATTTTCAAAAGGCTCCAAAATTTCAGGAGCACCGCAAATGACCACATTTTTTTCGATAAGCACCGAGATCTGGGTACACCATAACCGGCCCAAAACCTTCATTCTCTAAGGGCACCAAATTTCAGGGCATTGTTGTGTCGTCCAGCCTGACGAAATCCTGGACTGACCCCTTGGGCTAGGGGACACCGAAATGGCCAGTTTGAGGCACCATAACTTTCATTTCGCGGCACCATAGCTTTGATTTTAAACACACCCTCTATCTAAGTGGGCAATTTAAATTTCCCAAAGCTTTGGCTTGAAACAGGGTTAAAGATCCATGGACATCACAATATCTATACCTTTCACCCTTCGAAATTCTCGATCTGCCTGTCCCACGAGGGAGCACCAAACCAACTTCATTACCGGGCATCTTAGCTTTTATTTTCCAGAGGCACACACTTTCTAAGGCGCCACAAGGCAGGGGCGGGTCCAGAGGGGAGAGGGGCCATGGGGTCATTCCTCTCCCTCTTGGGCCCAAGGGGGTTTTGATGCCTGAAGAGGCGCCAAATCTCATCGCAAAGGAGCAATAATACCTTCATTTCGGAACCACGTAACTTATATTTTTATGAGACACCAAATTGCAGGGGCACCGCGACGTTCGTGCCGTGCCCTCAATGAAACCCTGCGTCGGTACGTTCGGCGGGGGAACACCAAATCCTTCTCTTCAGGGCAACATAACCTTTATTTTCAAGAAGCACCCAATTCCATAGAGTACCGGATAAGGCCCCGACCCTTTATTCTGAAAGAGTCATTGATTCCAAGGGCATAACTATGTTGAGCTTTCCGCCCTGATAAAATCCTGGATCGGACCCTTGGGCAAAGAGGCGTAAAAACCGTCCTTGCGGGGCGACATCGTCTTCATCGCCAAGGGGCACGAAACCAAAGCGGGCCATTTACAAAGCCCAAAACCATGATTTTAAAAGAGCAAAAAGAGCTAAGCAAAGCAATGGATCAGACTACTGAATGATCTGTTTGAAGCAGCATCACAAGTAGATCACTTAGACAAGGAACAAGACACCGGTGAATAGCACGGGTATTGGTATTGGGTGATTGGCATGCAGTGTTGTGATTTGCTATGTCGATTGTGTTATTCGCAGTGTGCGGTGCTAATGATGTCTTTTGCACGGCTAAATAATTATTTGTTGTTGCCAAGTCAAAACGGCGGTGAGTGCATTCCCGAGAAAAGTTTGTTGTTGGCTTGCATGCCCGTGTTTTCCGCTCTGATTTAAAGTGTTTAAGGTACCGAAATGAAATGAAGTGCGAGATGTATAGAAGAGTCAGTCACCAGTCATAGACCGTGCAAGTTCTGCGAGCTTCGTGTGTCTGTCGTCTGTCAGTGTATATATATATATATATATATATATATATATATATATATATTTGTAATGTGGACGCTCTGTGCGATTCGGGCAAAAGCATCGGCCACAACTAACACGACACCATATGGGAGTGATCGGAAGCAGGTAACTCCATGATAACTAAAAATTTCCACACACATACACCGCGAAAACGCTAGAAAACTGGAAGGCCCCTTACTTTGTGAGATCCCTAGAGTTCAGGGTTCTATCCACCAAGAATCCTCATCTTCTAGCCATTGAGTTTTAATATTGTTATGCATGCAGTTTGCATGCGGAAACCTAGCTTACTGCGCATAGTCGTAGAAAACTAGACGTGCTGCGTATGAAAATACATGGAGCTTGTTCATTTCCACCGGATCATGGGAGATTATGCTATTTTAAGGCCAGGTGTTTCGAAGAAAACATGGCAACATACACTTAAATTGGCCGCTAAATATGATCAAAATAAATCACAAGCTTGATTCCACACAAGATTGATACGGTCAGCCGGGTAGTTGATCTGATCAGCTGATGGCTGAGGACTAATTTAGAGTTTTTGCTTTGCCTGTTGCGTGGGAATACAGAGTACGGTCAGCCGGGTAGTTGATCTGATCAGCTGGTGGCTGAGGACTAATTCAGAGTTTTTGCTTTGCCTGTTGCGTGGGAATACAGAGTATCCTATCCTTCAGCATTTATTTATCCTGTCCTTCAAAATTTAAGGGCCCCTGAGCATCGAGTGCCTCGAAGCGTTACCTTGCATGGAGCTCCAACAACAGCACGGGTCCTCCAAGCAAGTCGAAAGAACCCGATGTGAAGAACCCCATACCAATATGAAGGGCCCCTGAGCAACCGAGTGTACCCCGGCGGCAGCGGCGGGGCGGGAGAGCCCGCTTTCCCCGCTGGCGCAGCGGTCCGCGCCGAGCCCGCGCCACCCGCCATGTCTCCGGCCGCGCCGCCGCTCGGCGCGGCTGCGCCCAGTCCGCCGGTGGGTCCCGGGGCGCGGCCGCGCCCAGGCCGGATACGGCCGCCAGGCGTCTAGGTAATTTATCGTAACCCTGCTTCACTGTACGCATCATGTGATCATCAGTCGAACGCCAAGTGGACTGTGCCATCTGTTGACAAAAGAGGGAAATAGCGACAGGACTCAAGGATGCTTCTGTAGTGTCATCTAGCGGCAGGAATCCAAACTGGCCTGAGTGCCGGGGATACTGGACGTTTTGAACACTGGACTTTATGACTCTGGACTTTGCGACTCTGGGCGTTGCGCGCCTGGACCTTATGAACGTTCCCAATGGGGGCACGGCATTGGACGCATTCTGTACGTTATGGACGGTGGATGCTGCGATCCTGGACGACATGAACACTGGACGCTGCTATCCTGGGCGTTTTGATGGCTCCCCGCCTTTTTTGACGGGCGGTCACTCAGGGCGCGCCCCACCCTCGTGTCATCGGTCTGACAGCCCTGACCCGGCCGGCCGCCGCCAGCTCTGGGACGACGCCGAGAAGCAGCTGAAGGACTCGCTGGACGCCTCGGGCCAGCAGTGGCAGCTGAACCCCGGTGACGGTGCATTTTACGGGCCCAAGATCGACATCCGCGTGCTGGACGCGCTGCGCCGTTACCACCAGTGCGCCACCATCCAGCTCGACTTCCAGATGCCGATCCGATTCAACCTCAACTACATCAGGTGCGTGGCTAAAGCACCGTGCTCCTGTCCTGGGCACGGCAGGTTTGTAGTCATTGTTTGCTGACATAGGGGCAGTAGGTGTATTCTGGCCGGACAAGAACACAGGCAGAAGCGTGCTCAGTTAATCTGTGCAGCATGTGCATGCACAGGTTGCCGCGCGTGCGTGACACTGTAAGGCTTGTTTTCAAAGGTCTCTTGAGAGAATATGCCCCACGAAGATGGCAGTGTAAGCGTCGTCAAATCTCCCCCCCCCCCTGGTTCTCTGAACCTCTGAAAACCGTGCAAAATGAATATTGGCCAAAGGCAATGTAGAAAATTCTCCTGAAATGTTGATACCCTAGGTTCCTGTAATGCCACTGGACACATGCTATATCACTCATTACCTTGTTCTGTACCGTATCAACTGCGACGCCAATACGGCGGGGCGGGCGATGATACTGGCCCGCCTCATCCCCGCAGCGAGCCCGGTGATACTGACAACGCCCTATCTCCGCAGCGAGCCCAGTGATACTGACCCTGCCCTATCCCCGCAGCGGGCCTGGTGATACTGACCTCGCCATATCTCCGTAGCGAGCCCGGTGATACTGACCCTGCTCTATCCCCGCAGTGGGCCCGGTGATGCTGACCTCGCCATATCTCCGTAGCGAACCTGGTGATGCCGACCCCAGCCCTACCTCCGCAGTAAGCCCAGTGATACTGACCCAGCCCTGTCTCCGCAGCGAGCCCGATGATACTGACCCTGCCATTTCTCTGCAGCAAGCCCGGCGAAACTGATCCTGCCCTATCTCCGCAGCGAAAGCGGCGAGAAGAAGCGGCCGGTGATCATCCACCGGGCGGTGCTGGGCTCTGTGGAGCGGATGATCGCCATCCTCACCGAGTCGTACGGCGGCAAGTGGCCGTTCTGGCTGTCGCCTCGCCAGGCGGCCGTCGTTCCGGTGGGCCCCGCCTACGACGCGTACGCGCTGGAGGTGCGTGATCGTGTGCATGCGGCCGGCTTCTGCTGCGACGCCGACCTGGACGCCGGCGACACGATGAACAAGAAGATCCGCAACGCCCAGTTGGCGCAGTACAACTTCATCTTCGTCGTCGGGGAGAAGGAGCGGAGCAATGGCACGGTGAACGTGCGCACGCGCGATAACAAGGTGCACGGCGAGCACTCAGTCGACCACGTGGTGGAGCGCTTCCGCCAGCTGCGTGACAGCAAGAGTCAGGCGGCCGAGGAGGAGTTCTAGCGCGCCAGGTGAGCGTGGTGGGAGGAGAGGTGAGGAATGGCGCACGCTGGATGGACTGACGAGAGTAAGAGGAGTGGACGCTACGGGGGTTCGTGTTCGTGCGTGGTGGGACGAGAGGTGAGGAATGGCGCACGCTGGATGGACTGACGAGAGTAAGAGGAGTGGACGCTGCGGGGGTTCGTGTGCGCTCTGTGGGGAAGACGTGTTGCGTTTGTCTTGATGCAGACGGATGGGAGGGTGTTGTTAAGGTGGCGGTGCTACGAAAACGTACTTGCCGGGCTGTGGCCGGGCCATATATTGGCGTCTGTCATTTGCGTTGTTACATCATGCATTTTGGCCTCACTAATTGATGGCTTGATTGCAGTGCATGTATATTACCAGCAGAGTGTGAAGCAGTCAGTGAAGTACATGTATTTAGCAGCTGAGCCACGGCCGCGAAGGATCCTCGCGCGCGTCAGCCCGCCTCCACTCACAGTGTTTCACAAAGCCTAACCGGTGTTCCGCTGCGTTTCCAGGCCCGGGTAGCTGGCGGGGGTTGTGATCAGGTGCACGGCTCCAGCGACACGTCGCACCGCGGCACCAAACCGCTGTTTAATTTGATTCATCCGACGGTCATGGCATGCGCTCAGTGGTCGTGCTCTCCGACGAGATGCCTCCGCGGCTCTGACGTCACGACCAAAGATCCGTTCCGGTTTGTTTACGTGGGTTCCCGCGTTCTTGTGATCGGAACTTTTAGATAAATATATCGCTGCTGGCACCAAGGCGACTGTGTTACTGAGAAGCCAGCGTTATTCCTGTGAAGAGGACGTGAGGCCTACGCTGCGAGATGCGCTCGAGTCCGTCAGCGTCTGCAGCATGTGGCATCCACAGAAAGGGTGCAGACACCACAAATGATGATGCAAACATGGCAAATGTTGGTGCTGCCACTACCATCACAGTTGCCTGCTTTTGTCGTTAGCTATATTTTCCCCAACATCGTTGAGGCTCTGTGTTGGTCCAATGGCAGCGTAGTCACGCCACTGTTGGTTACGTAGGCACATAAATGGAGGGTGAAGAAATGTGTCATGCAACTTGCTTCCGCCTGGGCGCTGTCATGACGGACCTTCCACTGTCCCTGACAAATCACGCCAACGTCTTCCAGGGACCAGGGGTTCTTATAATACGGTTGGTGTGACGGCGTCGAACCACAACTGTTCGAAGAACACAAATGGCTGGGTGTTACGGCGAACTCATACGCATTTATTTGGCAGTCTATTTGGCTGCGATGACTGGCGAAAGTCGGTTCATCGATAGCAACCAAGCCAATTTAGAAGCGCGAGTGGTTTTTAGAGCCGGGGTGAACGAAATAAGACATTGAATGTATAGCCGCGCTGCATGCAGACTTGGGCGAGAGATCGCTGGTCAGCCACGCGGGCGTCTCGGCTCTACCCTGCCTCGCTTCCGGCGCTCCTCCTCCCTCCATTCTCGCGTGAGGGCCATCCCCCGGCCACCGGCCCCCGCTGTCGGAGATCGATGCTGCTCCGCATGACGTCACAGCGCCGCCGACGCGTCGGCGCCCGCCCGGTCAAGGCTGGCGTTCGTACTGGAGCAGTCCGGACCGCTGTCGACCGCCCCTGGCCGAGGTCGGCCTGAACTAGGCCAGGTGAGCGGGGCAGCCCGACGGACCGAGGATGATCTCTGGCCTGGCCGGAGGGGGGAGTCCGGCGGGCCGGGGGAGGCCTCTGGTCTGGGGAGCAGTAGCCAGTAGATCTCTGCGGTCGATTGCGGGTTGATTCTTGGCAGCACTGCGCACATGGTCTGTTGGAGCCGTTGGAGTACCTTGGTAGGTGGGCTGGTTTTGTTGTAATGGGTGACGTGTGCTGCGCAGGCGGTGGTGGCGGTGCTCAGCGGGGTTACTGTTCTGAAGCCTGCAGTTTCGTGATGTGCAACGACGGGATGCTGACCAGCGAGAGCTGTAAAAAATAGCGTCGGCGATGAGGCATGGTTTTCGTTCCCTTGTGAAGACATGCTGTGCCCCGCCCGTGCCCGGTACTCAGCCGACACCGAGCGTGCTTGGCGCTAAACAGGGGTATAGATAGCCGGTACGTGCAGGAAAAAGTCATTTGGTCACGGAGTGGCCGTGTTGTCCGCCGGCTCGTGGGCGGGTCGAGCTTGAAAGATTCCTAACGTGTTGGTGTTGGAATGTTCCGTCGGAACGGTAGATGGGCCTCAATGATTAATTGTTTCAACATTGGGAGCGGGCCGTTGTGCATAATCGAACCAGTTTAACATTGTGGGGTTTAGATGTGAACATGTTCGGTTAGTGAGGTGTATGATAGGATACTGAATTGCAGGTTCCGAAAATGCGTCGACTAGACTGGGAGAGAGTAGAAGTGGCCGGTTGCTTCAAACTGATGCATGGGCTGGGCACACCTCTCGTTATGGTCATGTGCTAACTGTGCCGTTTAACCACGCCATCTGAGTCTTTCGGAACATGAGGAGGCTGGTTAAGCTGTGCGTGGCGACGACTATGTTTTTTTTCTGTAACTGAAACTCGGCCGGTTTCATGAAAAAATTGCATGCCCCTTGCTGAGGCGGTAGATGTGAAATGTCTGTGAATCTCTTACGTAAACTTTTCCGTGTCTATGACCGAAGCTTTTAGCGATCTGGACGTCTGATTTTATATGCAGGTGAACCATTCGCTATTGCAGTCGGAGGACATGTGAGTTCGGCGCGCACGAGTGTCGTAACAGCAATGACGTCACGGCGCGTCGCCGTCTGCGCGTCCGTCCTGCTGATGCTGGTTCTACCGCTAGAAGGCAGGCCGCGCGCCCTGCCAGACCAGAGTATCCGTGGCTACATTAGCCAGGTCAGTCGGCTGGATTGTTCCGAGTGCTCGCACCCGTCTTCACCTGGTGTGACTGCCACTGAGCCAGTCAGCGGTGCGGGTGGGTGGTCGGTCGCCCTGTGGGATAGCACAGAAGACACACATCCGCTTGATCGTCCCGCGCCTCTGTGCTTCACAGTCTTGAATACTGTTCTTTACGTGGCCCCCTCGGTCAGTGCCAGTGAAATACTCAATCGACAATTTTAACTGAAGAACGCTTGAAAGACTCCTTAAACGTCTCTACAGGAGCCATGGTTCTCCGAGCGTCCAATTGCCTGCCAACATGAGTGCAGTCTGGGTGTGTCGTCCGCCTCCTATTACCCGACCGACCGTCCTGTTTTGTAGCTGTACCATGTCTTTGCAATCAAGTCGTTATTATGAGACTGACCAGGGCATACACCCGCGTGCCATCCAGGTAGATTTGTCAAGTGTTGCACCGTGCCGTGTTGTGTTTTTTTTTGTGCCGAAGACGCGAGGTTTGTTCAAGTACGTGCCCTCTTTTCTCTGCAATACAGATGACGCTGTTCCCAACTGCTACTTGTTACCATGGATGTTGATTTGGTTGGGAAAGTTATGAGAACTGTTGAGAGATGCGGATATACAGCACGACTGTTGTGTGGTTAATTAACTGGCTGACGTAGTGAGCGACTGAATGGTGAATCCCTGTAAGTGGATACGTGGGATGATTTTGTTTGGTTTTAATTAGAGCCATTTCCGCCGTTAGTGGCTATCGCAGTGCTGTAGGGTGCAGGAAAGTGGATCTTGGCGGCGCAATACTACAGGCACGTGGGACTCCTATTCTACCGAGATTTCGCCCGTACAGGCCCCCCTCCCTTCATGCTATCGTGCTATGTGAGTAATGCTGCGGGGTACTCAAGACCACTGGTAGTTGGTGCGTGAAGCTTCGTGCGGATAAACGGGGCTTCGTGAGTGGGCAGAGTAAAGCGAGAATGAGGAAAGGGGGTGAATGTTGCATATGTGAGTATTCTTAGTCGATTTTAGATATTGTTTGCTCGTGCGGTATCGATCGTTAGACATCGTTCTTTCCAGAGAGCCTGCTGGTGGAACGAACTCTGCAAGGAAGAGTTCCAGCCGCTGTTCAAGTGTCGCTGCCCCAAGTTTTCATACTGCCGCTCGCCCGGCAAGTACTACAACGCCCGCTGTGCCATGTCCAGCACGGGCTACATCTGGATGCAGCCCGAGACACGCTGGTCCCTGAGGTCGTGATCACGGCGTCTGCCAGTGGACACACAGTAATCACGGCGTCTGCCAGTGGACACACAGTGGAGGCGTTTGGTGGACGCTCGCTAGGGTATTCTTGGGTGTTGACTTGTGACTTCGACAAGGCTGAATCATGGAACTTATGCACTGTCTGCTGCCGTATTCACGGGCGAGAAGGATTCGTGTTATGAGAATCGATCACGTTTGCACGCACATAAGAAACGTTTCTATTCGCATGCACATGAGAGACGTTCCCAGTCGCACGCACATAAAAAACATTTCTAGTCGCACGCATATGAGAAACGTTTCTAGTCGCACGGTCACGAGAAAATATTACAGTTACACGCGCAGACTTGTAATGCTGGACTGATTTTAACAAAAGCTTGAATGAAAACTGGTTGCTGTTCTGCGGTGTTCGTCACCTCTGAATTTTTATCCCATCGCAACTTAATCCGCTACATGGACACCATTCGAGTGTTTATTGCACAATACATCGCGCAACTGAAAGATGTGCGTGAACCCCATCCGTCGAGTGAGTGGACTAGAATATTGCTTTAGTAGATCCGGGCTCGGCACGTGTTTTTTGACGATATGTATGCGTTTCAAAGCGATTCACTGAATTGTGTAACAGCTGAGTTATGATTTACGAGGTGTGTAAAATCTAGCCAACTTTACCCGTGATAACACTGAGCAATACGACACAAGTAGTGTCAATATTTTGTAGCCCAAAATGTGTGTAATATACTTCTAAAAAATGAACACTGTTTTAAAAAGGGTATCAACAAATGTGTTGGCATCTCAGGCACGAAAATTTATACAAAACGACACGTGATTGCTGAAATAGTCCATAGCTTTTCGTCGTATTCATGCTTTTTATTTTCATAACCAATGGGCACGTACAAGCAGCAGTAAAGACGCAGTCGACGGTAAATTCACTGCGCGTCAATGCCCCATTAAAAGTGTTTGCTTCATCTGTAATAGCACTTCTTTGCGGTCCAATTTCAGGATTCCACCCCTTGCGACCTTGGTTTTATCATTGAATAAACTTAGGTCGCCACTGACAGATGTTGTTTAGTCTCGACCACCCAAGAGGGCGGCATGGTCGTACTCTGATCTGGGTGCTGATGGTTGTCTAAGGATGATCATCCGTCCCTCTTATCCTCTATCTCGCTTCATCCTGCATCCTCGCGACACCCGCTTGTCCGGGGCAGGCTGCATGCATCAGTCACGAGTGGGCCGAGAGCCCGGCGGGAAGGTTGGCCCCGACCGGGTACTCAGTACGCATGCGCGGGTTAAAGCCCGGCGGTTGCCCCCCCCCCCCCCCCCCGGCGTATGCGGGTCTGCTCCACCTTTAACCATTTTCCTGGTCGAAAGGGCTCTAATAAAAAACCAAGGTCGTCTAAGGATGCATGTGATCACGACTAAGCCTGGTACGCGTGTAAAGAAGACGATCCCACACATCTGGGTGACAAGCACAAGAATTTATGCTAAATCAGTAGTTCAATACGTGACGCGAGAAGCTCCAGTAAGCGTCTTCACGGCCTGGTGTCTGTCTCATCGCAGCTCACACTTCACCCAGCCGTTTGAGCTTGCACTGCAAGTAAACAGCAATGGCTTTGCTCCACAACCGGTGGACCCAGTCCTGGTACTTGATGATTCGCCTTGGCGATGGGTC